TCTCCTGTTTTCTTTATGAGTTATACAATTAATTACAAAAAAATAAAGAGGAAGTCAAGTGCATTCCAGAAAAATATTATGTTCTATTTTGTCCCAGGCAACATATAGTGCAAAATGTTCTTTTTACACAGTTTAAACACAACATACAGAAAGATCTTTAAATGGGGTATTCAGCTTTTGGCATTACTAAGTCGAACACTAAAATGAATTTTTTTAGGTAAAAAGATTTTGATCTCTGTGTCTTATAATGCACAGATCGCGTTCAGCAGGTGCACAATTATGAGTCTGATTTTTATATTTTTAGAGGATCTCTTTTCCTTTTTAAAGAGCTACTTTCATTATCATTTATCATGTAGTTTAATCTTAAAAGTTTTTGCTTTGCACATGTTTTTAACATATAAAAAAAAAGAGTGGATCAAATTCAGTCTGGAGGGTTTCTTCAACATATATGTTTTCGCAATAAAATTGCACACTTAAACAAATTATGGTTATATGATTTCCCTATAATGTATTTTATAGCTGCAATAAGCTCAGAATTTTCAGAAAACATTTACTAAGAGCTTGAGGGTAATAAAGAAGGAACACAAGTAACTGTACTATTTGATATTAAAGCTGTATTCTGATTGGTTACTTTTGCTTTCAATCAAACAAGATATAGTGAAAATGTTACATATTATTCTCACAGCAGCCTCTTGTTGTTGATTACAGGTGTCCTAGCACAATTAATGTATAACCTAACTTATATATTCTCTACTGTATATTATACAGTACACACAATCCATGGGGCCCTGGTGCGAAACTGATCCATGGGCAACCCCCTCCCCCCCGACAGACAGACACATACATACACACAGAGACATATAGATACACACATACACACAGAGACATATATACAGATACACACATACACACAGACACATATATACAGACACATACATACATACATGCAGACACATACATACAGACAGACACATACATACAGACACATATACATACAGAAACATATACATACACACATACAGACACACAGACACATACACACATAAGACACACATACATACAGACAGACACACATACATACAGACAGACACATACACACAGACACATATACATACAGAGACACATACAAACACACAGACAGACACACAGACACATACACACAAGACACACATACATACAAAGACACATACATACAGAGGGACACACACATACATGCAGACAGGCACACATATATACAGACAGACAGACACACATACACATACATACATACAGACAGATAGATACACACATACATACAGAGACACACACACACATACAGACACACACATACAGACACATACATACACACATACAGACACACATACATACAGACAGACAGACACACACACACACACACACACAAAGACAGACACACACACACAGACCCATACATACATACACACATACATACAGAGACACACACAAACAGACACACACAGACAGACAGACACACAAACACATACACACATACATGCAAACAAAAACTCACATATACAAAATGTTTAAGTCACTCTCTTGTTTCCTACCTTTTAGGTGCAGGAGGGTGACTTTCCCTGGGGTCCAGTGGTGGCTCAGGCTGGTGGGAGTTACCATAGTAAACACTAGGCATGCACCCGTAGCAATCACACTTGTGCAGTGGTTGCTATGGGTGGAGAGCAGGGATTTTCTGTGGTAGGTCCTTTCTGCTCTCCCCGTCAATCAATTCCTTGATGCAGAGTCTATGTCAAACAATTGACTAATATATATATATTATATAAATATTTTTCTGTATTAAAATAATTTTGCTTCTGATAGACATTATGCATTATTTATTTATGCATTGTTATTATTTTCAAAGCAGTGTCTCTTTAAGGGAAATACAGAACTCCAAATCTCAATCAGCTATTTAAATTGTTTTAGTCCATCATTTGTACCGAAAGGGTGAATAAAAAGATAAACCAAGAAAATGCCACCCATCGATACATACACATGCACTAATTACTTTCTGTCCTCCCTATCTCTTGTCATCCAAGTCTGAAACATTTTTTTTTTTATACGTGATTTACCCAAGTGGTTGGTGGTAAGTACGCTTCAGTGCTTCCTGGTATAATCTGTTTAGTTTGAGCTCTCTGGAGAAAATCTATGCTTGCATACAGCATGTGAATGCTAGACAAATACGTATATGGAAAGGACTACTAGATAATTGGAAGGGAGTGAAGTAAAACAATTTCTCAGAGGATCAGCATGCTACAGTGGCAGGTGAGATTAAAAGTTCTGAGATTTATGGGTAGGTGTGTGGCTAACATGACAGTTCAAAAGCTTGTGTTGCGGACTTCAACGTTTCTTTTTGCTTGCAAAGTTTGCTCAAGAGATAGTTCACTCAGGAATTTCTAGTGCTTGACTGAGCAGCAATTTAGCAAGTTCGCTGGTCTTCCATCCTTAGCCTGTCAACATTATAACGCCACTTCATTGAAATAGTGTAGACATGCAGACTAGTTTAGCATTTGTTCCATAGGCATCCCCTGAGCAAATACTGCAGTGAAGAAATATGTTCTAGTATATCTTATGCTGCTAAATTCACTTACTCTTAACAGTACTCTTAACAGTAGTGAAACAATATCTTTGCATAAAGTTGCTTCGGAAAGATCCAATTGGAGAACTTTAACGTAGGCCTTGTATTCCGCAAACCAAGGCAATCAATAAGTTAGGTATTTATCAAATGTGTTGTTGGCTACTGAAGTTGAAATTAATATCATGGTATCATAATCAGACACATCAATTGCCATCAAAGCAAAATATTTTTGGAAGAGCATGTGCAAGATTACCAGCAAAATGTCTTGTGAGTCTTGATTTTTCCTCTTCGATTCCATTAGATAGTTCCCTTGGAGGATATTGGAAAAGCTATTTGAGCAAATGAAAGCTCTTAAGCTGTTACTATTCCAATCCCCAAACAATATGCAACCATCGGGGATTCCAAGTGACAGAATTATTTACTACTGATATTTATTATACTAACTTGCCCATTCCAATAATATCATTCATTAATAATTAGTTGTTAATTAGTAATATGCTGGAATGTAAGCCTTGTTAAGTGTCATTATTGTTGTTGTTGAATAAGTGTTTCATATTAAAGGAAAATGCATCTTGATATTAAAATAACACATGTGCGTATCCGTTAATTCAATTTCCATATTCATAGTATTGTATTCAAATGTTTTAAACTTTCCTAGCTGCCTGGTAGAGTCACGTCACCTGGTAATCAATAATTATTTAACTGAAAACAAATAAAGAATAAAATTGCTCTGGATAGGGGATGCCCAGAAGTCGATAAATTTACATTCTTGGGTGCACATGTTCTGCTCTCATGATGTCTATCTATTTGCTTTAACATATCGACTATTTGGTACACTTATGCAGTCCAGCAGTTGGTCCAGCAGAGGGTGGTTAGAACCTCGGTTTGACCACACTGCTTCACAGTCATCAGGTTAAAAATGTCTATAGTAGATCTGAACCTTCAACGTCCAACTCAGTTGAAAGCAATGTCACCACAATCGCTACTGAGCGCAGTAAGCTCAGTAAGGCCAATGCTGAAACGCTTCTTAACAACCTACAATCATTGTTTCAGAGCAGCATTAAAAAATTGCAGGATTATGTCCACAAAGAGATTCAATCCCTTGGGAATCGCACAGATCACCTTGAAGGCATTATGGAGGAGCTGATGTCTGCCCATAACACCATGGCAGATGTTCATGAGGTCTTGGAGGTCAGAGTATATATACTCATATACACGTTCCTTTTAATTCTGTCCATATCGATATATATATACCCCCTTTCAACCAACTATTGATATCATGATCCTTATCACTAGCTCTTTCAGCATGTGGAGTTTCACAGGAGTTACACCACCACTTAGCATGGGAAATAGTGTCATCTTTTTTCAACATCTTCGAAAATTTTGCCTTCAGTCAGGGACTTTATTTCTCAAGCAATGCACTGCATTGACATAAAATGGGCTCTTTTACTATCAATAACCACAGACAGACAAATGCTTATCCAATTACATTAGATAAGATGAATAAAATCAAGAGTTAAATCTCAATTATGCTATCTAGAAATTCACCAAACTATATAATTTAACTATTAGATTCAGTTTAAAGATTCTTAAATTCTTGAATATTATTGGCTCCAGCCTCATTAGGAAATTGATCACATTAGAATATCAGAATTTGCATAAAACATGCAGAGACCTATAGATATGATTTAGACTTTACAAAACTTAAAGCTAAGATAGACGACTGAATTAATTCTGTAAAATGTTTATAAAATATTCATCTTGTATGCCCCAGGTGTAATTGTGGAGTGCACTAGTTTGGGCTCCTTTCTCGTTGTAAATAGTGTTACTTTCTCTGTCCTCTGACTGGTATGATCTATTTAATCATATTACTCAATGTGCTTCCCTGTGATACATTCACTGACTGATCATGCCATTACTGTATACTCCACACAATATTTTAGGGTATTCAGTTCAGCAACTCCTGAAACATAAAATATTCAGTCCAGGTCTACAGTACAGTACACAACACAACTGACATGCAAAGAGAGAATTAAGCTTTTTTGCTTCTTCTACTCAGTTCTTTTTCATATCACTTATATACTCTTCAAATACTTTACCTCTGATGCTTTGCCTTCGCCTTCAATGGCCAGCCATAAGCATCCCGTAAGAGCAGAACAGCCCCTTACTGCGGCTTCTATGATGAGAAAGTCCAGGAACTTGCCCAGCACTTTGCTTTAAAGTCCAGGTACACCAGACTGTGTGTCCCACTGAGGGCCAGACACAAAAAAAGTATCATTTACTCCGCATAATTTCATAAATAAAGGGATCACATGTATATAGGTATGATAACTTATAAGTAGTGATGTCCCGAACGGTTCGCCGAACGGTTCGCCACGGACGGCTAACATATGACTCTGTACCTCACAGTCAGCAGACACATTCCAGCCAATCAGCAGCAGACCCTCCCAGACCCTCCCACCTCCTGGACAGCATCCATTTTGAAGCTGCATTCTTAGTGAGCTGTCCAGGAGGTGGGAGGGTCTGGGAGGGAGGGTCTGCTGCTGATTGGCTGGAATGTGTCTGCTGACTGTGAGGTACAGGGTCATATGTACTTAGAAGGTATAGGTAAGCCAACCTCAAAATTTCAATGGTCCTTCTAATACGTGCAATCTGAATTAGCTTCAGTAAACATATTATACAACCTAACTCAATGACACTTACCTATTAGATGCCAGTTCTGCATATGACGCATTGTGTATATATATATATATACATATATATATATATAGATATGAATATTTATGTAAACTATGCGTATGTAAATTTTAGCCTAAAAACTATAATTTCATGAATGTTAACATACTATGCCAAGATAAATATATTGAAAGGTGTTGGCATTTCATACTAATATTTAAGCCTTTTTCTTCTTTTCAATAATAATGACTGATGTGTTTTGCACACGTAATTCAATGAATGCAATATATATTATCAGATTGAATTGTGTTAAAGGTATACATACTTTTAATGCTTGATATATTAAAAGCACTTAGAGCAATTCCACAGGGCGCCCAGATTGTCGTATGTGTTATGTTTTATCAATATATTTTATCTGTGTCATTGACATAATTGGCATATACATCATACCGTATGAAAGCGCTTTTTGATTGCTTATGATTTTTGATTTGACAAATATATTTTGGATTAGGAATATTCATCACTCCGCTATTTTTAGTTTTTATAATTACCAATATATATTTTTTTGAGTGAATCTAATAGTAAGGCATGCTATATTTTGAATGCAGTTGGAATTAGTGAAATTTAAATTTTTTTTATTCTGTGGAGCGTTTTACATTTTTTTTGCACCTGTGCTGTTAGTGATAATTTAAAAAAATATATATAAAAAATAATTTTCCTAATAGATGTGCAAAGTATTTTATTCACTTATGGTAATTGATGATTTCCTGGAATTCAGAGAAAAGTTTAAGATTACATTTTTTGGCAAAAAAGTAATGATGGTCCGAGCACTCAAGTTTAATCCAGTGGGCATTACTTGGCCCACAACAGGATCTTTGTCAAGCCTTTGTGGGCCGAAACGTTGTTTCGATTTTGCTCCAGTAAATCTGCCCACTGGACCATCATTACATTTTTTGCAAATCACATTGTGAGGATTGGCCAACCTCAGGCCTGGTTGCACCCTGGGATCCAGGATAGTGCTGTATCCATATTGGTAATTATAAGATTCAAATTTTAACATTTCACAATAAAAATGTAATTTATTTGACATTAAATTTGTGAAAGTTAATTTTAGATTTGTAGCTGGACATTCATCATTTAAAAACTGCTATGATTTTTTTGTTTATCCACATTTGGTTGGACATTTCTTACATACTCCCCACAATAACAATTCTAATAAAATCAAACTATTTTACCAGAAGGAATATGTTTAAATATCCCAGGAATTGTTATTAAACAAAAGAGTTACTTCTTTTATTGATGTTGGAGGGATGAAATTCATATGGATACGGATACATAGAAATGATAGTTATTGTAGGTTGTTTTGAAGTTAGTTATTTGAAGTTACAATTTAAAACACTTAATCAGAAGGACCACTAGGGACATCCAGACCACTTTATCTCAAATAGGTTATTTTACATTGCAGTATTTTAGAAACTACACATTTTACATTGCAGGTTTATATCCACCTCTAGAGGTGTCACTGAGTAAAACTTGGTCACATGACACGACAGCCAGACTAGGACAGAACTGATTCTATGATTACATATGGGGAAGCTCGGATGCACTTATGGCACATATTGTGCATGCACATCAGGTTTGCAATGCTCCTCTATGAGAATGTCCATGATGTCTCAGGAGACAATGAGAACAAATTGATGATTGACTTACATTTTTTTCCAGCACAGAGGCTTTTCTGAGTGCTGGAAAAAGTAAAGTTAATAACCTATTGTATTATTTTTTATGGCTAAAAGGGAGGATGCCTGTATTTTACTGGGTACAGGGACACTAAAGGATTAGGAATACAGGTATTATTTAAAAGAAGAAGAATTACCACAACAAGAGGACATAGACTTAAATTAGAGGGGAAAAGGTTTAAAAATAATGTCAGGCAGTATTACTTTACAGAGAGGGGAGTAGATGCATGGAAGTGGTAAAGATTAACACAGTGAGGGAAGTTAATCATACGTGGAATAGGCATAAGGCTACCCTAGACTTAATATAAGGCCAGAGACTAATGAAAGTATTTAGAAAATTGGGAAGACTAGATGGGCCAAACGGTTCTTACCTGCCGTCACATTCTATGTTTCTATGTTTCTAAATCTTTAGTGTTCTTTTGAGTCTGATATAGGAAATTAGTTTTATTAATAAACTGTATCCCTATATAAAAGTGAAATATGGATAACAACAATTTGCATGTGCATGCTCCAAGGATACACTTAAAGGATCACTCCAGGCACCATAACCACTAGAGTCTGATGTAGTGTTCATGGTGCCCAGACAGCTCTGATGTCCACTCAGGGTAAGTACTCAACTCAATTGAAATAGAAACATAGAATGTGATGGCAGATGAGAACCATTCGGCCTATCTAGTCTGCCTAATTTTCTAAATACTTTCATTAGTCCCTGGCCTTATCTTTTAGTTAGGATAGCCTTATGCCTATCCCACGCATGCTTAAACTCCTTCACTGTGTTAACCTCTACCACCTTAGCTGGAAGGCTATTCCATGCATCCACTACCCTCTCAGTAAAGTAATACTTCCTGTCTATATTTTACAGGTGATTTAATGTGCGCATACTGTGATTTTAGCATGTATTATATGTATTTGTGTGTATAAACCGGGATGCCTAATTTTAAGTGAATGTATTTATAAGAAAATCTTCAGAATATTCTGCATGTACTATTTGTGAGTTCTTTTCTTGTTATACAAGTATTTTACAACCTCACTATATATAAATAAACATCTAGCACGCAGACTTGGAAATTATATTTTTATTATCTAACTCAAATAAAGTGTGATAACATCGTATAGCATTGAGGTATAGCTATATTAATTCAATAAATGAGGGCAAAGTTAAAGTATGAGCAGCATAGAGAACAAAGAAGATAATCCATTTCTTTCAGTTTCCCAATAAGTAACAGAATACACATTTTATTGTTACATTTCATCTGATATAATGTATTGTAGGTAGCCGTTCTCATCATACGATGAATACTAGCTCAATGAGAAAGAGCAATATTCAGCCGCAGACTGCAGGGAGACGTAGGTTGGTATTGCTCTGATATTATCATTTTAAAAAATAGAAGTTATAGCCAGATAAAAAAACCATTTGGACTACACAAGCAGCGCCTCAATTACAGTAAAGGAATAGCGAAGCTGGCATTTTTTTTTTTTATGGGTAAATAAAGTGCAATAACTTTTTAATTTATTTCCTTGATTCTAAAGTTTTATTATAAGACTAAATGGTTTTCTGAAACTCTGTTCTGTTCCTGGCCCCTCCCCTTTTTATTATTCCCCTTTCTTTTCCCAACAGTAAACACAAGCATTCACCTTTCGATGGTTGTACTATAGAAGCCTGCCTAACAGATATCCATGTTATATGTATCGACAAGGGCTGCTTGGCCTTACCACGGAAACTAGCCAATGACTTGTTGCATTATGACATCATTACCATTTCATGTTATGATATCATTACCGTTTCATGTTATGACATCATTTCTTTCATATCCCTTGTTGAAATGCTTTAACCATGGGTAACATTGAGGCTGGTGACAGGTAGAGATTAAAGGGACACACCAGGCCCCTAAAGCACTTTAGCTTGCTGAAAAGCTTTATGTGTGAACAGTGTGTACCCCTTATTTCATTTTGCAAAAAGTGCAGATTTCAATACAAACTGACGCTTTTATAAATTAACCTGGTTACACCCCATTGGCTTTTGAGCAGACAACAGGTAACTTTAACTCCTGGTTTGGTGAGCTCAGTGGAGCTAAACTTAAAAGGCAACAATTGCTGAGAGAACCTGTCTTGCAAATACTTCTCATTGAGCTGCATTGGGAAGTTTGTGATTGGACACCCAGAGAAAGTATGGGTGGGGTTAGCAGGGGAGGGCTTGCAAAGACAGCAGGCAAGCGAACTATATTTTTTGCAAAGAGTTTTTAGATAGACCCCAATAAAAAAAAAATGCATAATGAAATGCATGCATGTTGTTATTTGGGGTATATCTACTAAATAGTAATTTGTAATTGTGTATTTGGGCAGTGGAGTGCCTTTTGCGTTTAACTCAACTGAGCTAACCAAACCAGGAGGTAAAATGACCCATTGAGACCTAATACAGGGTTTGTATATTAAGTGTGCATGTGGAAAGATTTTTCATAAATTGATAAATTACTAAAACACCCGAGTGCTACAGGATAGAAATTGCAGGGGGGGGGGGGAGCTGATACTATCTGATCTGTTTCTAGAGTAGTTTGTATCATCTGACTGTTCCAAATCATTTAACCCCTTAACAACTATTGCTTTATAAATGTGTCACTAAATACTGGTCTCAAAAGTGATGTATCCATTTGGAAAGCACTGCAATATGGTAATGTCACTTGTCCATTAGGATCCATACTTTTTGTGGTATATACATAAGGCATTGGCCGCTAAGGGGTTAAAAGATAAAACATGATCAGGTGATCAGGAAGAGAAGATCAATTGGAAAAAAAAATAATAATACTGTAAGCACACGTGGGCTGTCGAATAAATGTTAAAACTTGACGCAGTTCTTTTTATATATCATACAGGCATTTGTGATGTTCTATTTAATTCATGTTTAGTTTTGTATTTTCTCCAAGTGACTAATCAATTATACAATGCTACCTGGTAGCAATTGAGTCTGTGTTACACAGACAAGTGGCTCGTCAACATCAAAATATTCATCTCTGAATTATTCATTGAAAACATTTTCTAAACATTTGTACATTATGATCTATGGAGATATTCATTCACCTTTCAATAATTTCACCCATAGGTTTTAGTGCTAGATTCTGTATTGCACAATAACTGTAAGGTCTCCATTTGTGAAGTGA